TTCCTAAATATGAGTTACGCGGTGGGAATAAATACGTTTAAACAACAACACGCCCCCCCCCCCCACGTGATCCCGACCTTCAACGTCCAAGGTCACATCCTTATTCTGTTTATCCCCAGTTCTGACTATCCGTCTGACAACAACCACAACTCACCACCAGGAAGTTTATCATCCAAAGTCCCGCTGCCTTCCTACTTACTGGGTTCCCCTTACTTCCTCTTGGGGCTGTGGTCGGCCTTGTCAGCTGCTGCTTCCCCCGCCCCCGCCCCCGCCCCCACGCAGGCTTCTGGATCATCACTACCTTATTAACGTCTCCCTGCTGGCATATTTCATCATCTAATACAAGAAACCCATCCTGTGTGATGTAATATGTCAAGAAAACACAGATAACCTTTATTACCACTTTGTAACTGTCACAGAAAAATAAGACAACAGCACACTGCTGATGTATCCAAACTTGTTGAATAAAAATGAAACAGGCCCTAACCTTCAATACTGCCAACCAATCAAAACTGCCACTGTTATACTTCCCTTTGCCGACACTATGGAGTTTTTCAGCTACACTGCTGTTAAATAAAGCATTACTGAGAAAGGACACCAATGGAAATAAGTCATTGACTTTTTTTTTGCGTTATCCTAGGTAATTTACACATTACTATGTATGATAATTACATTTATGTGCACCTGTACCTAAATAAACAAACTACAAATTCTAATGAAGACCTCTAACATGTTTGTTAATATTACTGGGTATTCCTGGGTATGCCTGCAAGTCGTGCCCATAATGCAAACATGGTAAAAATTTAAAACTGCAATTTTGCAACATTATGAACTGTTTCCTAAGAAAAGTATAGTTTCTCGGAAAACTGTCAAACTGCCTCATCTTTGTGAGAATGACTGGTCACTAAAACATTTCCCATACCTATTTCAAAGCCATGTTGGTGTCCCCTGCCCTCCCTTTCTCTTAGGTGGGGATATCCGGGGTCTTATGATAAATGGTTAACAAATACATCACTGGAATATTTAGCACAGGTATTGCTTGCATATTCTTAAATAATAAAAATATGTACTATTTTATAGATTTCAGATGAATGTCAAGTTATTTATATACTGTAATATAAAACCATCAACTGGAATGAGAAAGAAAATAAACCCTCAGACTATTTCAATGTTGCAAGGAACAGGAAAAGCTGCAGATGCACTAGTCTGTTGCACCTGCAGCTTAATTTTCCAAAAAGACTTTTTTGAATTAACATGGAGGGTTAGCAACTTAAGATAACCCAAGAAAACTTATCAGTACATTTCATTTCCATTGGAACCCCTTGATCCTCTTTTAGAAGAAGGAAATCCACAACTGCCTGCTAACACCCAGATACCCATTTACTGCTACATGAAGAGGAGCAGCAAGTGCACCCACCCAGAACTGAACCCGGGACTTTCAGCTGAGAGCTGAAAATGTTACCACTGAGCCACAAACCAAGATTTCACCAATATATGATCAGCTGTGTAAACACTGGTGTTTATCGAGAACATGTCAAGGTTCTAATTTTTTTATCAATTGCAAAAATATATCCTGCTTGTCATATACTGCTGGATTTGACTTATTTTACATATCTAAGTTTTTTTAATAACAAAACATATTCAGCAGTAAGTACGATCTTTTCGAATACAGTAAACTGATGTACCATACAAAGATTTAAGAAACTGTATAAGTCATAGTAAACAAAACAATAAACATTAATTGCACTTAACTATCGTAATGAAAATTGTAAATGGCATTATTCAACACACTATTTTCTGCCTGAAATGTACTGTATGAAAATGCTTCAAGTCCCTTTAACTGTATATATATTTTTTTGAACATATAAAAGAAAGGAACATCATAATTTATACTTGGAAAACCTAGGAGGGACTGGTCCCTAACCTGTACACCAAAACCAATCCGTATGAAAATAAAGACTTAGGTGCACAAAGTACCTCCAATGAAATAGCAGGGTCACAAAGAGTACATCAAGAGAACTTAACAAGTGCCAGAGGTCCCTGACTTTTCAATAGCCTCCCTTTGAACATAAGGAAAATTGTTTCCCAATAAACCTTTGGCTGTCTTCAAGAAGAAACATGACTAAGTTCATCAAATCAGATCCTGACCAGCCAGGCTGTGGTTCATACATTGAACTGTGTGCAGTCAGCAGTAGCAGCTTGGTTGATCAGGCCTTGATTGACCAGGTGGCTTGGTCTTGCACCAGGGTGGGAGCACTGACCCTGAAAACATCCTTCATGTACTCAAACTGAAATATATTCTAAAAAGTTGTACCCAAAATTTATCATTTATTTACTGAAATAAACCTACTGTTTATAAACACCCCATTGCTTTATACTAAAGAATATCAGTAAGTCAGCAACAATTCCTTCTTTGCATTTTGAGTGCATTCTGAAAACAAGTTTATAGTGTATCACTACAAATAAATGTCAACCAGGCAAATGAGGCTCACAGATGACCAACTTCTCCTTGTATAATGGTTTAGAAACCCAAAAACCATTTCTATCAGATTATATTGGACTGAAGCCACTGGCTTCAGTCCAATATAATCTGCTAACACCCAGGTACCTACTACTGCTAAATGAACAGGGACAGCAGGTGTAAGAAAACATGCCCGTTTCCACCTGTACTGGGGACTGAACCTCTGCCAACCGATCCATGCACACTTAATGCTGGGGAATTTACATAAAACACCCAGGAGTAAACTACATATACTGCATGCACCCAGTAGACAGTGTAATGGAGAAAGTAGCAAAATAAACCTATACAACTACAGGAGGGCCCTGATTATAACAGCAGGTTAGGTTCTGGACTACTGCTGTAAAGCAAAAATTGCTGTAAAGTGAAATATTGTTTTTTCACTTTCAAATGCATATAAAAGCCTGATAACATGTTTACACATTCATATATTAAGTGAGCAATAGAGCTAAGACTAAAAAATGCGTATACAGTACTTACACACATTACTTACCTTAAAATAAAATTAGACTGCAAGCCAGCTGCTTAGAAAAAACACTATAAATCCAACAGTGTTTGAGCACCACCAATTTGCTATGTATGTCACACCCATTCATTTTCATATGTATATTTGTGGTTAAAATCAAGTGTTAATAGATTTATGCCAGCTGACTGAAACTACCCTTACCACTAAATTCGCTGCTACAAGTGTCATATCAACAGCCTTAAACAAACTGCTACACCTGCATAGCTGTCAACAGACTGCTAGCCTAATAGCCAAATATGTTAATGAAATGGCAGAGTTTAAAAAGAGCCTGCCTAGCATGGGCCGGTAGACACCTGCATTGCTAACCATTACATATACTAACTGCCTATTAGTAAAACAAACAAAATTCATTTTTGGTGCATAATTTTTAAAATATATGAAGAACAATAGTGAATCTGCTTGCTAGGGAAACACAGTGGCTGCAGTTGATATACTGCTCCTGAAAATGAAAACCCTCTTCATTTACATAGCTCTATAAACAAAAAAAAATAATTATCACATCTTTATTTTTTTCAACAGTAATGGGTCGACAATGGGAATAAATACCCTATGAGGAGAGATCTTTCATGTTACACTGAATGAATTCATAAAAAAAAAAAAAGGCTCTGTCTGGAAGCTAGATACCTCACCTCACTGGAATGTCCATAACCTACCACAAATTGATTGATACTGACTGCCATGTAATGGCCATTAACAAACTGTTTACTACCAGACTACTGACCATATGAACACTTTTTTGGGATATCCTAGGTAATTACACATATGCTGCTATGTATATTAATTTATGTAACACTCTGTGTACCTGTACCTGAATAAACTTACTTACACTTCCATAAAAGGATTGGCATAGCTGGTTATGCATGTCAAGAAAACTATATTGCTAAGGGATATCCTAGGTTAAGCCATCATAAACTATTACTAATATATATCATCTATAATAATTTTAACATGCAGTGCATTTATCGTTAAAACAGTAGACACGAAATTTGAAACTGATTGTATTTAAATACAAACCTCATATATGTACTGTACTGTAAATGATCTATGCAAGCATATAGGAACCCTCAAAATCAGTCGCAGCTATGAACTGAATACTAGCTATGTATTGCAATTTTAGAAGCCTGTTTGACTTTTATTACTTGTCAAAAATAAAGGGCAAAATGTGCCTTATTATATTTATTGTATTTATGAGAAGTGCTAAATACATAAGGGTCTCATAGCACCTCGGGTATGGGAAATAATTAGATTTGATCCAGAGGGTGGGTAGTTCTAGTAAACTGGATCAAGAGCCCTTCATCAGCATCAAGGCACCCTCTTTCAAGGGTTACAAGTGTTTAAATAAAAAGCAAAACTGCTACCAGAAAAATCAACCTACCTAGTCTTGTTGGAACTTGTGTCAAGTTACCCTTAACACAGCAATATAACAATATCCATTGTATGTCCACAATAATAGTGTTCGTCGCAAATGTAAAGAAACAACAAAAATTTTGAATGAAGTGAAGATAAGTTATTTATAAAACCAGTCTAAATTTAACCTGAAGAAGACTATTGTTGGTTTATTCTTGACTAAACCATTATTTATCAAAAATTAAAGCCAATATTTTGTATGTGTAAAGACGATTGTTAATTCATTTTATATATAGATCATGTGTATTGAGAAATATAAATAATGTATATGTATATACACAACTCTTATGGCGAGATCAATGTCAAAATTATATCAACAATACCTCAAAAATTAAGTAAAATTTTCAAGCGCTACCATAAACTTTAATCCAAGTGAAACCTAAAACACTATTATAAACATCTGCCAACCATATGGTGTGCCACAATACCATATGTGCACCAGAAAAAACATCTATCTCTCAGCCCATGTCTAGCAAATCTGGGAATAATCCCCCAAACTTTTTCAATTTACCTTCTAATTTTGCCACAAAATAGCTTATTAACACTTGCCTTCGTTCCCAAAGAGGCTCCAGAGCTTTGCAATCAGAATACCCATAATGTAGCTGATAAAATAGGTATGTCACATGTGAGAAAGACGAGAGAGATTGATATTGCTTGAGCCTCCACTGGCCAGCTATTGAATACTGAAGCCACATTGGTGGGCTGCGGCCGTGATGTCACTGATACGTCACTCTAACGTCACTTCGACGTCACACCAAAAAACAAAAGCAGCGTCCACCAGCAAACTGCAACACTATGTAACTAATAATAAAAAAAAAGCAAACTGATATAGTCAGAGAAAAATTATCAAATATTGCGACACAGAAGCATACGCCTGGTGGCAAAAGCTCTCGCTTCACACGGTGAGGGTCCAGGTTCGATTTCCGGCGAAGGGGTGGAAACATCAGACGTGTTTCCTTACACCGGTTGTCTATGTTCACCCATCAGTAAAATATGTACTTCGGTGCTAGTCGACTGGTGTGGGTCGCATCCGGGGACCAAACTGACCTAATTTGCTCGAAATGCTTTACATAAAAAGGAGCTTTCTATATAGTAGTATGTCACTGATGTCAGCTAGGCCTGTATACCTTGTACATGTACTTATAGAAATAAAGATATTATTATTATTTCCTTTGAAAATAAAGAATTCATCATCACTGAACGTCTTCTCTGACTTTTGCGACCTTTCGTCCCACCACCAACTGTAGTTGACGACCCTTAACCTCTGGCAGTCGCCGCCCTTAACTCCAACAACAACAACAAGGCGAAGGCTTCATGGGTGACACTGCTGCTGATGGCGCTGATAGTATGGAATCTGACGAAGAAATAAGCGAAGCTGAGGAGCCAGTACTAACCAGACAACCTGCAGTAGCGTATCCTTTGACCTAATCTTTTTTTTATCTATAAATAAGTTTGAGGGTTTCATCTTAATGGGAATAAATCACACTGATGAGTTTCTCCCCCTCCCGGTGAGGGGCTCTTAATAATAATCTTTATTTTTGCAAGTACATGTACAAGGAGGCCTGGCTGACATCAGTGACATACTACTATATATATTAAGTCTCTTGTTATGCAGAGCATTTTGGGCAAATTAGGTCAATTTTGTCCCCAGGATGCGACCCACACCAGTCGATTAACGCCCAGGTACCTATTTTACTGATAGGTGAACATGGACAACAGGTGTCTTAAGGAAACACGTCCTAATGTTTCCACCTGTACCAGGGATCGACTCCCGGACCTCAGTGTATGAGCTAAGGAATTGGACATATGCTCCAATTCCCCAACTAAGTCGGAATGCCTTCCAGTCCCCTAGTGGCTGTATGATCCCTATGGGTTTAATGCTCCCCCATAAATATAGTAATAATTCAATGTAATGTTCACCTCCAGTGGAAATAAGTCACTTTGACTTTTTTTTGGGTTATCCTAGGTGATTTACACAGATGTTACTATGTATGATAATTGTACTTATGTGGACCTGTACCTAAATAAACTTACCAAGGACTAGATTTTATTAGGATTATTAACCCAGGTGCTTAATGCTAGGTGAACAGCAGTAGTAGGTGTAATGAAATGACTAATTTTCCATTCATCTGGGAACTGCACCCCAGTGCCTCAGTCTAGAGTCAAGGCCTCTAACAACTGAGCCATAAGTACCCACACTTAAGTATGAGACCTAAATTATTATTATTACAATCATGGAACTCTAAACTCAGTTATAATTAAATCAGATTTTCTTGAATGACAATTATTGTTATAGTCATTTAAGTAAAGCACAGTACCAAAAAAAAAGGCTAAGACTATTTGACAGCCAAGTGCTTAAATAGTTACTGACCTCCATTCAGGGTTAAATATATTTGATAGGTTTATATAACCTAACCTGTAAACTGGTTGCTGTCTGATTAAACAATAACTAGTTGGCCTTCCAAGAGGGAAACCTGTAGGGGTAATACAGCACCTGCATGGCACTCAGGATCAATTCAAGGGGAAGCTAAGTCCTCTTCCTTAGATCAAGAACCCTGCAATGGTATCAAGGTACCTCCCTTGAGGGAAGATTTTTTGGACAAATGCACATATTTTGATTAAGTTAGGTTAGGCAGTGTCAGTTCCTCCATGCTGCAAGGAAAATATGCTGATATATTTTGAAGATGACACTGGGGAGGTTAAGGATAATTTGGATAGACACATAACATGAGAACTTTTGTCCTAAACAATTACAACACTAAAATAATGCTGTAGAATCTCAGTAGTATTATTAATTAGATTCATATATAATTTTTTCTGGGCTGAAGTTATGAAATATGTACTCAAAATGATTATTTCCTTATCTTATTCATTAGTAGATTAGAGGTCCCTTTCAACACTAATCGAGAAGCAGAGGTGGTACGTAACAGCCTGCAAGTGGATCCAGAGCCCAAGAGGAGCGGTTCATCAAAAACTTTCACTATTAAAGAGAATGTCCTTTGCATGTAAGTTACTTTCAACTTTGTTCCACTTAAATAGAATATGACATCAAAAACACTTACAAAGAAATCCAGATAAATTATTCATCACTTCATAGAATACAATCCTATCCTCTTTTTCTTAACTTATTCTTAAGTTAATGCATATTTTTGACTAGTCTTCAATTAGGCTCTTCACAGCATCATTCATCAACAAGCTTGTTCCAACATGCCATTGTCCATGAAAAATCAAACTGCCTTACATTTGTAAAAAGAGAAAGTACAGTATACGTATGTACATGTGTATGTATGTATATGTATGTATATGTTTATGTATGTATGTATGTATATGTATGTATATTATATATATATATATATGTATATATATATATATATATTTTTTTTTTTCAACAAGTCGGCCGTCTCCCACCGAGGCAGGGTGACCCAAAAAAGAAAGAAAACAATTTTCTTCTTATTCTTTTTAGTAATCTTTACAGGAAAAGGGGTTACTAGCCCATTGTTCCCGGCATTTTAGTTGACTTTTACAACACGCATGGCTTACGGAGGAAAGATTCTTATTCCACTTCCCCATGGATATAAAAGGAAAAGTAATAAGACCAAGAACTATTAAGATAAAATCAAAGAAAACTCAGATGAGTGTGTATAAATAAATGTGTACATGTATGTGTAGTGTGACCTAAGTGTAAGTAGAAGTAGCAAGACATGCCTGTAATCATGCATATTTATGAGACAGACAAAAGACATCAGCAATCCTACCATCATGTAAAACAATTACAGGCTTTCGTTTTACACTCACTTGGCAGGACGGTAGTACCTCCCTGGATGGTTGCTGTCTACCAACCTACTACCTACCTATATATATATCTATATATATATATATATATATATATATATATATATATATATATATATATATTATATATATATATATGGTATAAACCTTGGTAATAAATACCGACAAGTTGGTTTAGAAAGACACGTAAGCAAACACTATAACATATTTATTAGAAAACGTTTCGGTCCTGGGACCTTGATCACTTCTAACATACAGAGGTAGAAAGACATTATATATATAGGCGGAGAGTGAGATGTGATCGCACGTGACCTGAGGAATGTCATAAGAACATAAGAATGGAGGAACACTGTAGAAGGCCTACTGGCCCATGCGAGGCAGGTCCTTATCAAAACAACCTCTGCCTATGATGAGGACGAGTAGACGATGAATCATGGACTCCTGTGTTGTTGGGTTGGTGTGCTTAAGTATCATGTATGCCAATGTTTTTGAAATTTTGTAGTTTCCAGTGTTGCGTTCTATAGTGTCGGTGACGGTGATTAGTGAGGCTTCTAGGCACCGTCGGCGTCTGAGGTCTGGTTCGGTGAGAACGAGTTGTGCCTCGTTCCAGTTCATCAAATGCCCCGTGGAGTCTCTGTGGAGGACACAGGCGTACCTTACATCGTCTCTGTTAAGAGGCATTTCGATGCTCATTCAGGCGGACTGCAAGATCTCTGCCTGTCTCGCCTACATATTTCTTGGGACAGAACCCACAGGGGATAGTGTAGACGCCTGCTGTAGAAGTTAGAGGTGTGGGGCTGCGTTTAGTAGTGAGGTCTTTGATAGAGGATGTGTTTATGGTGGAAACGTTGATGTTACTCATAGCAAGTGCCCGGCGAGTATTCGTGGCAACATCGCCACATGTATGTTAGAAGTGATCAAGGTCCCAGGACCGAAACGTTTTCTAATAAATATGTTATAGTGTTTGCTTACGTGTCTTTCTAAACCAACCATCCATATATATATATATATATATATATATATATATTATATATATATATATATATATATATATATATATATATACACACACACACACACATACATACATACAATACACCACACAGGTCTCCCCCAAATTAGTTTTCGCTTTCGGGGCTTCACACATTTGCAAATTCCCACCCCAAATTCCCGCC